GGGATGAATTGATATAGTTGGTTTTTTTTTTTTTTTTTTTGTTTGTTTTTTTTTTTTTTTTTTTTTGGGGGGGGGGGGGTAGTGGTTGCTCTTGAGACCATTTATTGTAACGATAATAGACTCTGTCAAAATTCACTTAATTCAATTAACTGTTCATTAACCACTTACACCCACGGGACAGAGAGTGTTGTGGGTGGGACATTGGGTGAGACAAAGGGGTGCAAGAAAACAGCCAGAAGGAAAGACTCATCAACAAAGGAGCCAAACTAGTGGACCTTGTCAGACATCTTAAAAACAAAAGGGCTGATACAGATAATCAACCAAACACCCAATATCAGCATCAATAATCAGTCTACCCTTACCACAAAGTCAAAAATCACTGTTATTGAGTTAACCTGTGTTTATCCACACAAGCTTGAGCAAAAATAGCATCCCTCTTGTGTGGCTTGTTGAGCAAGCCATCCAGAGCAGCCTGCAAATAATCATTGCAGCACATGTTTACCCCACAGTTTGAAATGTTGCCCCCATGTTTGGTGTTTATATCCAATATGTAGACTCAGTATTTGTTAAGAGTGTATAAAAAAGAAGAATAGCACCTCTTGAATCAATGTAAAACTAATTATGATGGGAACATTCATCAATATCAAATGGATCTTGAAGCTTAAACTGGGCTAATAACCTACAGTCATTTGTCCTTAGATTGGACAATGAAAGGATTGTGTTTATTCAAAGTTTTACAGATGAAAAAAACATGTTTATTTTTTTTTCAGGGTGGTAGTAGTTCAAATGTGTCATTGTCTCTGCTGCCTGATGAAGACTTCCCCTCACATATACACTCACACACACTGGCCTTTCCTCCAACAGTGACCACTAGGGGGCATCCTGGTTGTTCTGTCACATGCAAACAAACTCTTGTACTGCTCCCTGTCCATCTCGTCCTTGAATGAAGGACTAACGTCTGACAGAAAGAACATGCTGCATTAAGGCATGCATTTTTACACACACATACACACACACACACACACACACACACACACACACACACACACACACACACACACAAATCCCTGGTGTGACCCTGGCAGATGACTGGCACCTGGCGTGGTGCTACCACCCGGTCTCATGTCCCTCGGGCAGAGTGCTGTCTGCAGCCAATTAACCAACAGGGCCAGTTGCCAGGTCTATATCCAACTAATCCTCCTCTCCCTCCTGCTATTTTGCCAGATTTTGCCCTCCACGTTTTTAAACGTGTTAAAAGAAAAAAGTGTGTTTGACAATGGGAGAGGGGTCATAAAAGTAGGTTAGATTTCTATGTTTGGGTGTGTTGAAGAAAGCAGTTTGCAACATTTTAATTTGTTGCCTTTTAGTTGACCTAAATAAGGTTTAAGGGATTTGTAGAGACTGCAAATACTAAACCAACAAAAACACTCTCACCAATGCAGCTTAAACACATCTTTGAAGTCCCTCCCTCTGCAGCATTTGAAACGTGTTTCAGGAGAGGACAAAGCAGGAATATGAGTATCTTTTATTTTTGGTGTCACAGCTCCGTGAGTGCACCCCATTTCATACTGAAACATTGTACACTAACAACCTGTACTCCAGCCTCTCTCTGCCCCCATGCACTGATATGATTGTAAATGGTTGCATAATTTTATTTTTATATCATTGTTTGGGTTTGATTTTGTTTCTGTCATTGTTCTGTGCTCTTATTTTGAAATGGTTCAATGGGTCTGTAATTGCTTTGCTGAAGAGTGTGTGTATGCACCAGAGAGGGTGTGTATGTAACGTATATATGACTGAATGTGTGTGGGCGAAAGAAGATTTAGAAAGGTTGGGTGTGTGTGTTTGTTTATTGGCTCGGTGCACATCAGCCCTTTGCCTGTCTCCATTGTGTTAGTGTGTTCAGCTGTTCACTTTCCCCTGCATCTGCTCATCCATAAGGAAGAGAGAGAGAGAGAAGAGGAAGAGGAGGAGGAGGCAGCAGCAGAGGACCTTTTCCCTCAAGGGGAAAAACACAACTGAGAAAAGATACTTTTGAAAAAAGGATATTTTTCTCCTCTGCAGGGTCACAAAGAAGAGTGTAAATTTCTAAGTTAATTAAGAATGATGAATAAAAAAACTCATTTGTTCTCTATATGAATGGCTGTATGTTAACCATGAGCAAAAGTAATGAGTTCTATGACAAAGACATATAATAAATTAATTTTAAAATTTTAAAACTGCTGTCAGTGTGTTTCTGATTTCACTGCCTCTATTATAGTGTGTGTGTGTGTGTGTGTGTGTGTGTGTGTGTGTGTGTGTGTGTGTGTGTGTGAGAGAGAGAGAGAGAGAGTTCTGCAGTGTGACTACCTTACAGTGATTTACATCATCAATCCCTAATGTCACTAGAGGGCAGCACTGCATTACACATCCTTAGTGATGCCTCTTGCCTCTTTGTACTTACCACTTTGAAATTCTTCCTGCAGAAACATTTTGGTGTTTAGTGACACTGACATTTAAGGAACACCACCACCTTTCAATTAATCTTTATCCATGTAGCGCTAATTTACAACAAGCTGGTTTGGACCAGACTCTATTTACAAAGATCTATTGTCAAGATGCGATGACACTGAGCCCCATGTGAAACATTTTGCAGCAGTTAGCAAGTTACAGTGGAGAGGAAAAATGTCCTTTAACAGGCAGAAACCTCGAGCAAGACCTGACTGATGTTAGACAGTCATCTGCTAAGACTGAGCTGGGGGATAGAGGGAGATGCAGAAAGGGAGAGCTACTCCATTCAGACTACTTTTTTAGACTCCAGGTACAATGAGCACCTGCAGTTAGTCCTATGCAGGTCAAACTTGTTTTAGACAATGAAATTGAAACTAAAGCTTCAAAACAAAACCTCCAGTCATGACTTGATTAATATTTAAGACAACATGTGATATGCTAAGCCAAACTAACTGGCAAGTGTGTACTGAGCCCAAAGACATGAGTGCAGTATGGTTTTCTGATCTATAATAAAACAGGGATTGATAAACAATAAGTTTATCTTAGTATTGGAGTCAGGGTGCTCAGATTTTGATGCTGTAAAACACAGCTGTCTCTACCATTGAGCATTAAAGCCACAGCAAGGTAGGGCTGAAAGTTTCCACGCAGTACAGGCACAAGACAAAGACACCTAAAATCTAGCTGGGGGATATATTTGTCATGTAATTGAAATTAAACTAGCTCACAGGTGTCTCTGTCGCACAACTATTGCTTATTCCTGTATAAAAATGATCAAATTACCAAAAATGGGCAGTGAACTATAGTTTTATTCTGTTTTGTAGGAGTCAAAGGCAGCTGCACAGCTAAGTTATTGACAGCCCGGCCCTGTTTCCTGTAGAACTGTAAAACTGAGCCAAGGTATAAAACTGCACCAGCCTTCAGGGGGACATCAGCAACACAAATTCAACTCAGCTTTAACCATATGGTGAGGTATTGTAGACAGGCACAAAAATGTTTCTGGACAGATAAGCTTCTGACCAGAATAAGTGGAAAAACACACTGCTAATGTCTGAAACCATTGAGAACAAAATGCACCAAAAAGTGCAATCCGAGTCCATGACACCACTGAGATCCGCTCAGCAGTGAGAAGGGAGCCACTTTATATCTAAACATCCAGTTAATGTCCAGTTCCAATGCCAGATGAGCCACAGAGGAGCAGGGTGTAACAGATCCCAGCCCAGTCACACAGACCAGGAATGTTCTGCTGCTTTTTCTGTGTGTGAACCAGAGACAAAGAGGCACAAACAAAAGATCTTTAGATAACTGGAAACACGCATACTGAAAATACTGCAAGCATACAGACATGCATATGCAGATGCATGGAGCAGGTGTGTTGCATGAAAATAGATACCTTCAGGTGCAGATGTTGCAATCAGTGCTGGGAGGGTGTTATAAATTACTGCAGCTGGTGCTGTTTTATTTCAGGTCTGGTGATCATTTTGCTCCATCAATGACAGGTGGGGTTCAAATTTGAAGCAAGTTGACATGCAAAATGTTACCTCTGCAGAATACAGTGACAAAACGACTAATAGATTGGTGAATTCACCTCAATAACAGAGGCTGCATAACTCAAAGTGGGCCACCCCAGCTTTGAAGCCAACTTTCATCAGCTCTATTGCCCTGTTAAACTCCCTTAAGGATGCATTCATCCCTCTGCACTTTGAGTAACAATGAGCCATAATAATAATAATAATACATCAGATTTCATATAGCGCTGTATCAGAGACCCTCAAAGTGCTTTACATTGGATACATCATTCATTCGCTCACACAGTCACACTTTGGTGGTGGTAAACTACCTTGGTAGTCACAGCTGCCCTGGGGCAGACTGACGGAAACGTGGCTGCCATTTTGCGCCTACGGCCTCTCCGACCACCACCACATAACACTCACAATCATACACCAGTGGAGGACACACACTAGGAGCAAGGTGGGTTAAGTGTCTTGCCCAAGGACACAACGGACAGGTTTGGGATAAGGGGGAATTGAACCGCCAACCTTCCGGTTATTGGACGACCGCTGTAACTCCTGAGCTACTGCCGCCCACCATCATTGTAGGATGCTGTAAAGGCAGCCTTTAATGTGTAATTAAAGAATATGATGCAGGTAAACAGTGACACCTGTTGCCTAGAAAATGAAACCTAACCCTGTAAAAATAAACCAATCAGCCCTCAAATCATGACAACCATGTAGACCAGGGGTGGGCAATCATGTGTCATGGAGGGCCGAGAGGCTGCAGGTTTTCTTTCCAACCCAAAACTCCACCAGGTGAGTCCCTGCTCTCTGCTTGGAGTTAAGGTAATCAGTGAAATCACCTGGTGGAGTTTTGGGTTGGAAAGAAAACCTGCAGCCTCTCGGCCCTCTATGGCACATGATTGCCCACCCCTGTTGTAGACCCAACCTAACTACTTCCAGGACTGTGATTTTCTGGTACTGTCTTGGTGCCAGACACCACAGCCTCTCAGAGGTCCAGTTGGGTCCATTTCCTGTCAGGTCAACACTGTTTTGGCTCTGATCTGACCTGACAAGAGGCAGCCAATATAATATTTAGCAGGCAAAACAGAAAGTAGCTGCTGAGACCACAAAGATCCTATCCTTTCTCCAACCAACTCATCAAACACTTCCTGTGACATTTTCCTTAAAGCCACATAAGACAAACTAAACTACATCCTCATCTGCAGGAAATGTCTTTCTATAGCAGAACCATCAGCATGTTGCATGTATTCATTGCAACCTGTTTCGCATTTCATTGGGATGAAATGCAACAGTACCCTCTTTTTTTGCATAAATTTCAAAGTCATTTTCTCAACTGAATATAAACTGCATATTTGTGTTTCATTTTTCATGTACTTCTGCATGTGTAAGACTTCTTTTTGCACCTTATGTCATGATTTTGCTGGTTTTGGACACATTTATGGTTCAGTGGAACCCCCCCCCCCCCCCCCTTTTTTTTTTTTTTTTTTACAGAGTTGGGCAGCTCCTCAGCAGCACTGGCTCCTCCTGCACCTCCACACCTACATCTGATCACCAAATCACCACCTGCTCTTAGGCTCAGCTCTGAAGACTGCTCATCGCCAGATTATTCCTGCTCTCACAGTGGTATCACGGCCAACTCTTTCTAGTATTGAGAACTTAGAATGTTCTAGTGAATGTTTGCAAGTTACTAGTCCCAGCTGTCCTCCTTTCTCCACCAGCAAACCCGGATGCAGGTAAGGAAGCCCTCTCAGCTCAAGGAATTCAGATTGGACGTCATTAGAAAATGCTGCATGGAATAATGGAATCTCTTTATAGCTTTCACCAACAAATATCCCTAATCCACACCAATCAGCACCATGTGGACCCACAGCAACCTTCCCCCAGCACTTCTTCTCCTGTGAGTAACCCACCTGATTTGGCTTCCCATAACACCTCTCCCATCTCCAACAAGGAGCTTTTTGTTCCACCTCCTGAGCCTCATGATGGGGATTTAGGTTCATGTGCACAGTTTCTATTAAATTGTTCTTTAGTGTTTGATTTACATCCCTCTAGTTATCCTTCAGAGAAAGCCAAGATAGTTTATGTCATCAATCTGTTACAAGCCGAGGGGCCAATTAAGCTACAGCGCTCTGGCATAACTCCTCTCCAGTGTTGTTGTCTTTTGATGTTTTTCCTAGGGAGCTCAGCAACATCTTTGACCAACCAGTTAAAGGGCGGGAGGCATCTAAGAGGCTCTTAGCCATTACTCAGGGATCCCAGTCAGTAGCCTCCTACTCCATAGATTTTCATATTTTGGCCAATGAGTGTGGGTGGGATGAGGCTGCTCTCAAGGGGATTTTTATGAAGGGGCTTAATGAACAGCTAAAAGATGAGTTAGCATCCAGGGATGAGCCTCCCACCCTCGAGGAGTTGATCTCTTTGTCGATTAGACTCAGGGGGAGAGAGAGAGAGAGCGCAAGTGGTCAGGGCTCGTAGGTTGGCGGAGGATAACAATCCTCACATCGATTGGAAAAACTCCATCTCCAGCTGGAGCCTGCATTGCCACTCTCACTGCCTCCTGTCTGCCAATCCAGTCGCAGTTAGCCACAACTCACCCCCTTCACCTCCAGACCTCAGCAGTGTCCTCCCTGAGTACCATGACCTTGCCTGTGTTCAATAAAGACTTGGCACTATCCTTACCCACCCACTGCCCATATGACTGTGCCATCGATAACCCTCCTGGAGCTCCTCTCTCCACTAGCTGTCTGTACAACCTGTCTCGACCTGAAAAGGAGGCCATAGAGGCCTACATCCAGGACTCTCTGGCTACAGGACTTATCTGCTCCTCCTCCTCTCCCCTGGGGGCTGGGTTGTTCTTTGTGAAAAAGAAGGACTCATCCTTGTGTCCCTGTATAGTCTTCCGAAGACTCAATGACATAACTGTGAAGAACAAGACACCTCCTTTGAGCCCCTCTGCCATGCTCAAGTCTTCACCAAACTGGACCTCTGCAATGCCTATCACCTCATCCGGATTAGAGAGGGAGATGAGTGGAAAAAGGCCTTCAACACACCTCTGAGCCATTTTGAATATCTGGTCATGCCCTTTGGCCTTACCAATGCCCCAGCTGTTTTCCAGACCCTCATGAACAACATCCTCCGAGACATGCTCAACTGCTTTGTTTTCGTCTACCTGGACGACATATTAATCTTCTCCAGATCCCTGGAGGAACACTCTCAACATGTCCGTCTGGTCCTTCATTTTCTGGAGAACCACCTCTTAGTCAAACCCAAGAAGGGTGAGTTTCATTCCACCTCTGTCAGTTTCCTAGGGTACATCATTGCACAAGGACAACTCAAACCGGACCCCTTACAGATCCAAGCAGTAGCTAATTGGCCCATACTCACCACTTGCAAGGAGCTTCAGCGCTTCCTGGGATTTGCCAACTTTCACAGGAGTTTTATCAGAGATTATAGCAAATTGGCATGCCCCCTCACCTGTCTCACCTCCACCAGCACCCCTTACCTGTGGACCCCTGAAGCTGACACCGCATTCACTCAAGTCTCTGTTTACCAGTGCCCCAGTTCTCAAGTATCCTGACCCCAGTCTCCAGTTTTTGGTGGAGGTAGATGCCTCTGACACAGGAGTGGGAGCCATCCTTTCACAGTGGAGTCCCGAGTCCAATAAGCTTCACCCTTGTGCCTACATTTCATGCCACCTGTCCCCCTCTGAAAGGAATTATGATGTCGGAAACTGAGAGTTGCTGGCAGTTGTGTGGGCTCTACAGCAATGGAGGCACTGGCTGGAAGGATCTGGGACTCCCTTCATCATCTGGACCGGCCATAAAAACTTAGCCTATCTTCATTCAGCCAAACGTCTCAACCCCCACCAAGCCCGTTGGTCCCTTTTCCTAAGCTGCTTCAACTTCACCCTCTCCTACCACCCTGGCACTCGGAATATCAAACCAGATGCCCTCTCTCACCTCCATTCTCCCTTCACCTGCTCCAAAGTTCTGGACCCCATCCTCCCTCCCTCTTGCATAGTCGGAGCAGCCTCCTGGGTGATCCAACAGGTAGTGCTGGAGGCTCAAAAGAGGCAACCTGACCCCGAGCCCGGTCCCTCTGGATGTCTCTTTGTGCCCGACTCCGTCCGATCCCAGGTACTCCAGTGGGGGCCCTTCTGCAAGCTTACCTGTCACCTGTACTCTCTTGTTTCTCAAGAAGCACTTCTGGTGGCCCAGTATGACCAAGGACACCCGGGAGTATGTGATAGCCTGCTCTGTCTGTGCCAGAGGTAAAACCTCTCACCAACCCCCTGCTGGTCTGCTGCGCCAGCTACCCATTCCACATCGCCCCTGGTCTCATATTAGAGTAAATTTTATCACCGGCCTGCCTCCCTCAGAAGGTAATACAGTTATTCTCACAGTCATTGATAGTTTCTCCAAAGCAGCATTTCTTCAAAATGCCTTTTGCTCTAGAGACTGCCAACCTCCTCGTGCTCCACGTGTATAGATTGCATGGTATCCCCAGTGACATTGTTTCTAACAGAGGCTCCCAGTTCTCCTAAAGTCTGGAGGGAATTCTGCAAGGCTGTGGGCGCAGCAGCCAGCCTCTTGTCTGGGTACGACCCACAGACCAACGGCCAGACAGAGCGGGCTAATCAGAATTTAGAGTCTGCCCTGCAGTGTGTCACCGCTCACTATCCAGCCTAATGGAGTACTCATTTCGCCTGGATCGAATATGCCCACAACTCCCTCACCTGCTCAGCCACAGGTATGTCACCTTTTATGGCCTGTAATGGTTTTCAACCCCCTCTTGTTCCCAGATAAGGAGCTAAAAGTGGCTGTTCCCTCAGTTAAAGAACACAAGTCGGATTTGGGGTGTGTGGAGGGAGGTCCGGGCGGCACCTCACAAGGTCGGCGGAAAGGAACAAGTGGCTGGCTGACCTTCATCATTCTCCTGCCCCTGAGTACAAACTGGGACAGCATTTTCTGTCTCCAGGGTGTTGGATGTCAGACCCCATGGCCGGGGTTTCCAATACCTGGTAGACTGGGAGGGGTATGGACCTGAGGAACGATCATGGATCTCCCAAAGCTCATCTTGGACAATTCCCTGCCCAGTGACTTATTTGGAGCACCCTGAGAAGCCTGGTCAGATGCAGGGTGGCGTCCGTTAAGGGGGAGGGGACTGGCTCCTCCTGCACCTCCACACCTGCATCTCATCACCTAATCACCACCTGCTTTTAGGCTCAGCTCTGAAAACTACTCATCGCCATATTATTACCGCTCTCACAGTGGTATCACGGCCAACTCTTTCTAATACTGAGAACTTAGCGTGTTCTGGTGAATGTTTTTGCAAATTACTAATCCCTCTCCTGTCCTCCTTTCTCCACCAGTGCCTCCTCAATCCACCAGTGTCAGCCCAACCTCTGCTTCAACTGCCACTCTCTCGATCCTGAACCAGCCACCTGCCGTCTCCTTCAGCACACACACACTGCCTCACCCCTCACAACGGATCCCCCTGCACTCTTTGGACCCAGGACCTCACACCATCCTTCATTGTTCATTTCAATAAAATCACTTAAAGCTTCTTCTGTCTACGCTACCTGCTTTTGGGTCCCTCAAGAAAACCCACTGTTACATCTTAATTAGAGAACAAGCATGAGTGACCTCATAACATGTACTCCTAATCATTTAGATCCATGTGTAAAACAAAACCCATAAGACTCCCTAATTGAAGCTTGAGTGAGCACTTTTTATCTCCTGTAGCAGAAAGTTTCCAAAACTTTTATGAAAAACTGCTGCAGCTGAGTGAAGTTCAATCTATGCTCACACATCCATTAACATATCCCTGTTTGTACCAACTGTCACAAGCTGTTAATCAAAGTCACATAACCTTTCCTCTTTTTTTAATCTTCTGCGTGTGTTCAGTTTAAAAAAAAATCCATCAAACACGGTGCTGACAAACCATTCTCTTCCTAACCCCAGTATTTTGGCTCTTTCTTTAAATCTGATGCTGTATATGTTATTTGGTAACTTTTTTTCCATTACACTAATCAAACATAAAATCCCGGCACCTTCCCCCACCTGCTTAAATAGGCATGATGCTCCTGAGTGATATAGTGATGGCCATGGCAGTTCTTTTAGATGTACGGAATCACTTAAATCAGTTCACAAAAAAGATTCGTTCAAAAGATTTGTTAACTGAATCATTCAGCGCTAGGCAGGAGGAGCATGCAACTCCGACCTCCTGAACAGATACACAGCTGAACGGTTCAGGATTCAGTTCAGATCATAGCTTCTGGGACTAGGAGACGAGATTATGTTGTGACTGTGTTGCTTTGACAAACAGGTTTGTAAAAATTAACGTGTTTATAAATCATGATGTTTGAAGTTTACCAATGGTCCAATGGTATTCTATTTATCTACTCTGTTAATGGGGCTCAGTGAGTGATTCGCTCACTGCACATTTACCCCCACTGTACATTCTGTGAAAAATTCACACTGAACCCTTGCAAATCACCACAATGATACGATCAGACAGTCATGCATTTCTTAAACTGCGGGTTTTATACACTATTTGTTACATGCTGTATCCTGCTATATATGCAAGTTGTTGTAGTGGCAATTTAGCAGAGTTAAAAAAACAAGAGCTTGTCTCACTCTCTTCTCATTACTGCCAGCCTAACATTCTAAGTTTGTTTAATTGGGAACTAAATCTGTTAAAACAACGGGGAACAACAGTCGCCATGAAAGTGATTCCAGAGAGTGTAGTTCACTGCGTTCATTCACAAAGTGATTCAGGCATTTGCGCTTGCGGTCCCCCGCTCGCTGGCCGCTCGCCCAGCAATGCTGCATGCTATGGCAGATGCGCTGCTGAAAGCTCAACTTAAGTGACAAATGAACAAATCACTTGAGGAAGTGATTCGGTTCAGTATGTTCACTCAAAGGTAAGGCAGGATCTGAGAAAGTCCCAACTTTTGAGAGAAATCTTGAATGTAAACACAACCCCTCCCAACCATTTTTCCCCCTCAGCTCCTCCTCTCCCCTCCCTCTCGGTTCCAGCAAGCCCCACCCACAAACAAACGCTCCTGCTCGCTTGTATCATTTCAATTAAATTCAGATAAAATGCAGAAAAACACTTCAGATGATTACAAGTGGGGCCCACTCAACGTCAAAGTAAAAAGCAGTGGTGCTACTGTAGATGCCAACAGACTACCAGCAAACACAGTGTTTGCAGGACTTCTACAACTAGGATAAAGTGACATAGTCCAGGACCCGAGGTAGACAGTTTAGTGGCGCTACAACACGCTACAGCAGGTCCCGTTTGACAAGAAACACTTCTGTTACAGACACTTTGCTTACTTTGTTAAAGCGGTTTGCCTGTCCAGTGGAAAGGTTACGGGGTCCGTAAGATCCAGAAGCGTCCCCCATGGTTTATGCTTATCCTTAGCTCTTGTCCAGTCTACCTCTGTTCTAAGCGCTCTTTATTCCGCTAGAGTCTCTGATATTTACTTTGTTTTATAGTTTGTGTCAGGAGTTGTGGCCAAAGGAGGATTCAGACAATTTTCCATACTTTCTGGTCGGTTGCTACTGTCCAATGTTGTAGCACGCTAACTTTGTTTGGGCTTGTGCATGTTATTGGAGGATGCTATTGACTGATATTAAAAGCTTTTTTCTATGTATGCCACAAAAAAAAATGCTTCTTTAACGGATTCCTGCCTACCCCACCTTTAAAACATTTGGTTCTTTTTAACAAATCATTCACGAACGACCTAACACTAGAGTGATACACATAAACCCATTAAAGGTCTCCTTGATCAAGTAGCCAGTAACTTATGGCAGCGACAGTTTGTCCAATTTTACTGTTATGACAACTCCAGAAGATGCAGCATGAGGTAATGTAATCACTCTTCCTGTGAGTCAGTTTTTGCAAAATTATGAGTGAAATGTGAACATGTGGCCAAAACTCTGCAGCTGGTGGACTCGTGATGTAACACAAATAGCAACAAGGATGCAACTGTGTTGAGCTTTAGTCTGCATGCTGATTAATTCCCAGTCTGAGTCTTTAGCTGTCACGTTATTACTTGCTAGTGAGAAAATGTGCAAAAACCTACAACTCGTGCCCCGTGTCCTTTACGTGAAGGTGGATAGCTGAGTCCTGACCTGAGGAAGTGGCTCTCCTGTATTGAGCCATGCACTTGTGAAGCGGTTGTTTAGTTTCCCCAATGTACAGGTCTGAGCATTCCTCGCTGCACTGGACGGCATACACCACATTACTCTGTTTATGTCGGGGTGTTTTGTCCTTGGTGTGTTACCAGGCTTGAAATGAACAAGCCTGGTAACACACTAAGGCAGATGCTAGTCCCTGAACCAAGCCTGGTAACACACTAAGGCTGTCCACCTTCACTTAAAGGACACAGGTCACTCTTTCGAAGACAGCAATGTACAGGTGTTGGCTAGAGAAGACAGATGGTTTGAAAGAGGAGTTAAAGAAGCCATCTTTACCAGACTGGAGAAACCTTCTCTGAACAGAGGGGGTGGACTCAGGCACAATCTCTCCGGCACTTACAATGCAGCTCTCAGCTCTCTCCCCAGGAAACTCCACAAACATTCATACCTGGGACTACATGACTCAGGTGGCATGAGTCATGTGGTCACATGACAGGGGTCATTAACGACCCTTTCAGGTTAATGACCCTCAGGGGGGAACACCCGGAGATGGGTTTTCCACGACCCATTCTTTCCAACTCCTCCCAGTTGTTGACTGTCCCCTTCTCCATCAAGATAAATATCTGCTCCTCACACTAGCAATAATTAGAACTGAAGAAGTTTCTTGGATAAGAGACGAAACGTCTTCTCAACTCTACACAGTCCAGTTGCCTGATTTTGGAGTCTTCAAGAAAACCATGACCTGGATGAATGAGAATCTACATGGACAACCCTGTCATGCCAAGCATGACTCAGTATTTGGAGTTTATCCTAGCTGGTTAGTCTCACAATATCTTTAGGAGGGATTTCCTACAACCCCCTCTGTAAAGAATGATGTCAAGTAATAATGCAATTTCTTCCTCCTGTATCTGTTTACCTCTAAACATAGCTGAAATGCTGTAAAAATCAAGGAAAAACCAGACAGGAGAAAGCCAGAGGCTGAGTGTGTCAGTATTAATGAGAATAAGTCAAATAAACCTCCTGCAGATGGGAAAACTCTGCAGAACTTGATGGCAGAGATTACAGGGGGCCTCAGGCTGAAGGATGGTGATTGCTCCTGGATTGCATGCATCTCTCTGTCTCTCTCTCTCTGTGTGTCTCTCTCTCCCTCTCTCTCTTTCTGTGTTTGTGAGTGTGTATGTGTGACTCAAGCTGTGTCTCAAAAAAGCCCTTGCTGGGTCAGGCAAACTAGGGCACACCACTCTATAATTTTCAGCCAAAAAAAAAAAAAAGAAAAAAAAAAACAGACCCAGACAGCGCGTCATTTTGTGTGTAGATGTGAGTGTCTGATTCAAAGGGCACCTGCAGGCTTGTGTGTTTGGGGACGTGTGTCTTGGTACAGATTTGTCAGCATCTGCAGGAGACTTGGACAGTGCAGAGACTGTGCTTAGCTGTTTTCAGGCTGAAAACAACAACAGAGGGTCTGAAATTTGTAGTTCAACTGGATCAACTTTCATTAAAAACTCTAATTTATTGAACAAAATATGTACGTGCTGTTTGCCCAGTAGATTTAGTTGTTCCTTGGGTTATTTCTTTAGCCATAGCATTGGTACTAATCATTTAAATCTCATAAATAATTGCAAATAATGTAAAAACAACATATCAGTCTTAATATACCATGCAGCAAAGGGGGCAAATCTTTAAAAAAATAAATAATAACACTATGTAAATATTCAAGAACTAAGCAGTTTGACTAGTTTTATGAAACAGTCAAAAGTTTTCTTGTGCTTTCTCTTGGTTGGGGGTCCCCTCTTTTGTATTTGTTGCTTCATGATGGGATTTCAATGGGGAAAAAATAGGGACTGTAGACGGGCACCCATGACTCCTTTATTACAGAACCATGCTGTTATAATAAGAACTGAATGAGCAAATACCTATGTCATGGGCACGTATACGTCCTCATACAATCAAAAATCCAGGCTTTTCATAAGTTGGGTGGTTCCTCTTTTTTAATGTGTGCAAAATGACGATGATTCCATGATTTCCAAAAAGAATGTCATATTTTGGTCAGCCTATTTAAAATGGTCTTGACTCAGAGAGGTTGTTGGTAGTTTCTGTCTAATTAAATCCACAGATAGGGGATTTTGAAAGTGATAATGAGCCCATGCAGTGACTTCAATGACAGATTCATGCCTGTTTTTAATGTCTCGGAGATCATAGACGTTCAGTGCTGTTTTTTTGGCTTTGTCTCTTTGGATCCTCTAACACAGCAGTTTTGATCCATTCTCACTTGCAGCCTCTCACTGGGTGTTGAACCTCTACTCAGCCTCTGTGGAGTGCCTTTTCACATCTAGACATGTTACCAAGCTGCTGTAAACCTCCCTCATTGGCTGGCAGATGTTCCTGCACCATTCCAACTTTTTAAGAACTAGGGGTTGTTCCTTCAACTTCTCAACTGAC